TATATATGGATACCTATACTCTAATCATATTAAATGTCATTGGTAAAAATGTATTTTTTCAAGACAGATTTATTTAGGATCGACTTTTTAAATGATAACATAAATAGCACGCCATACTTTAACCACATGGCAAAAACATTCTCTCAAATTACACAGAAATGGGTTATTTAGCATAGCTGACATTAAACATATAGGTGAGCGATAACAAAATCACAATCATAAACAATGTGAAACAACTTTAAAAGACCTACACTGTGGATTACAAGCCTTTTTCACTGGGGTAAAATCCTGCCGAAAATTCGCCATGGCCGCCCGAAACCCCGAACCCGACTGTATAAAAGATGAAGTCATACAATAACATAACACTGATGTAGTATTACATGATTTTTTTTATATTTTATTTCTTAAAAACTATAAGGGGAGTTTACCAGAAAAAAATTATAAGTTTTTAAAAAAAAGTTTAAAAAATTTAAAAAGAAATTCTAACTCTAAGTTTTTAAAAAAAGTGACCTGGTGTAATAACTTGAGAGACATAATACACACACATGTTTTTTGTATTGTATGTTATTTGTTATTATCTTTCAGTAAAAAATTCAGTTCAAACTGGTTAGGCTGGCTAGACTATAGGCTGTCTAGACTGTAAATGAAAAAGTGTGACGTCATAATCACATTGTATTTATACAGTGAATGACGTCACAATGCATAGGTAAGTTTTTTGCACACGGCACTTAACAGAGGGTGCAAACAGGTAAATATAAGAAAAACACAGGTAAAAAGGTATATTTCTTTTGCACACGACCCTCAGTTTTTTGCACACGGCTCCTTTATAGATGATGGAACAGGTATATAAAGCCTAGGTAAAAAGGTGCACACGGCCCCCACACCAGGTATATAAAGCAAAAAACTGTAAAAAATTTGATAATCATTCTGCGTGAGCACTGAACACAGGTGAAAATAGAAAGCAAGGATGAATACTTCAGAAAATTCCCAGTATTATGTGACACCTGAAGGATATGTAGGAGCTCCCATGACAGAGATAATAAAGGATGCCGTGGAATTGGATTTGAATTTGGACATGATTCATTTTCATGAGGACATGAATAAAGAAGATATGAGCATTTTAAATACCACTTTGGACGGAATTATGAACATGCTATCTGCTCTGGATAACAAGATGAATGATATGAACACCAAGGTGAGTGATCTTAACAAAAAGCTGAATTATATTGCTGAGAAGGTGTGTCATCATGACAACAAGCTGAATTATATTGTTGAGAAGGCGAGTGATCATGACAAAAAGCTGGATAAATTGAAATGTTACATCAGCACTGGATTTTGTTACATTAGTGACTTATTATCACCAATCATAAAGTCATTCATGGGGAAAGAGACAAAAATGAGAGAAGAAGGAGGAAACACTGACCAGAAAAAAGAAGAAGGACCAGGGGGATCAGGAGAGAGTAAGAAACAGATGGATCTATGCTATGTATTGGTAAAAGACATAGAGAAAAAACCTCGGGAAACCAAAAGGAAACTACCCCTGACCATACAAGTGCAGGAAGAAAATGTAAAATTTAAACGCTCTCTCAGCAATGCAAGCACAGACACCAATTTCAGTTCTGTATCGTCCAATATGCCGGTGGAAGACAAAGTGGCCGTGAAAATAAAGACTGGCCTTAAAGCACCGAAAAGGAACAACATTAACAAAAAATTCGAGCCTTTGGAGGATGAGGAATTGGTGATGCTCCCCGTGCGAGAGCTCAATCGGCGTTTGCAGGGAATGACAAAGGAGGAAGTGCAGAAACTCAAACAAAAACGCAGGACATTAAAAAATCGAGGGTACGCGCAAAACTGCAGATCAAAAAGAATGCAACAGCGCAGTGTATTGGAGAAAACTACTAGATGATTAATTTGGAGGGTATTTTAGATTAAAAGACAGCCTGGTAAATTGTTGTATGTATTTTTTTTTTTCATTGTGAATAAAAATTGAATAAAAATCAAAATCTGTGTGTTCTTGTTTGTGTTTTGTTTTCAGTAAAAATCCAGGTTGTTCTTGTCTTTCAGTAAAACCAGTTCAAACCGGTTATAGGACTGTCTAGACTGTGAAGCGTGACGTCATAATCACATTCTTGTAATGTTTTTTGCACACGGCGCATTTACCTGTATAGTCAGCATAAACAAAACGTAGTACCTACGTACCAATGTAAACAGTGTAAACAACTCCAGTATTTAAGGGAATAGGTTAGGGTTAGTTAGGGGGTTAGGGTTAGTTAGGGGGTTAGGGTTAGTTAGGGGGTTAGGGTTAGGGGGGATAGGGTTAGTTAGGGTTAGGGTTAGTTAGCGCTAGGGGGTTAGGGTTAGTTAGGGCTAGTTAGGGATAGGGGGTTAGGGTTAGCACTGCACTCAGTTGACCCGGTCATCCAGCCTGCTTCCGGCTAGCCCACTTCCGCTAGGGCCCAATTCCGCTAGACCACTTCCGGCCACTTCCGCTTCCGGCTAGCCCACTTCCGTCCACTTCCGGTTAGCCCACTTCCGGTTATGACGTCACTTCCGCACTAGCTAGAATGCTTATACTACTGATAGCCCCCCCCCCATTTTTTTCTAGAACTGTTTGTACAATCGTGTGTATGTCTGTTTTGTATTATTTATACCACAATATCATGTATAATTTATGAAAAATGAAAAAAAACATTTGTGCTGTCCTTATTGTAATTGGCTAATTAATATATAGTATTATAATTACCAACACATAGTTTTAGTATTCCCCCCCCCCCCCCCCACCTTTGCATTGCACTGCATGATACATTTGTTATAACATTATTTGGCAACTTTTGACTGGAAGTGAAAGATGTTGATTCTGAGCTTCCTTTAGTAGCTGTAGGAGAATGTGCATATAGTTAGGTGTTTGACAACAGTAAGGGTAGCTATAGATTACATGTCAGTCTTTCTATCAAAGTGACATATCATGTCTTGTATACTGAAAATTTTTCTGTACTGATATAAAGAATATCTCAATCTCTTTCAAATTACCTGCTCACTTTATAGAGAGTAGATTTGAATAAGACTGCCACTATTTTATTATTTCATAACCCATTGTGGCCCTCCTACCCCCAATTTTCATTTCAAACTTGATTTACACTACCTATTTAATTTTATAGTGTATATTATATTCATTTTGTTGTCACTTACTTTTGAAAATCTTTTTTCAACATGTATATTTCTATGTGTATACAAAATATATAGACCAAATTGAAGTGAACTAGAGTTAATGCCCTTTATTCAGAGTGCAGTTATTAAGGAGGAATGCCACACCAACTTTTTTATTTTTAGGTCACCTCAACGAAGTTATTTATTCAATAATTATGTACTTGAGGTTACATGTGATTTTTTGGAGCAATTTTCTTTTAAGGTAGCTTCGCTATGTCCTTTATTGATCACAGGCACATGTAGTATGGATAATAGCCCCCCCCCCCTTTTTAATGACAAAAAAATGTAAGAATGTATAATACCTCGAAAATATAAAATTTCCCCGTCAAACACATCTATATGTCAGTTATATGCAAGCAGATTGTACTTTTTTCTCACGTTAAAAGAATCGCCCTATTCGGTATAATAAAAATACACAAGGTAAGAAACAAAAGTTGTAAACAAACGGGGGTTCCCCACTTCGAGACAGATTTCTAAAGTTATAACAGTGTTACCTATCACAATTTTGCAGACACTCTCATTTCCAAGTAACTATGAATACTATAGTGACCAAACTTGCATGGATGGTACATCTTAGGATGCATACTACCAGACTTGCTTCGGATGCTGAATTTGATCTACATTTTCCGGTTGAGTGAACAGGTTAAAGTTTTTGGTGCAGTTTTCATTTCAAAGGTACTGTGAGTCCAATAATGACCAAACTTGCATAGATGTTACATCTTAGGATGCATACTACCATACTTGATTCCGATGCTGAATCTGACCTACATTTTCCGGTTGAGTGAACAGATTAATTCTTTTGGTGCAGTTTTCGTTTCAAAGATATTATGAGCCCAATAATGACCAAACTTGCATGGATGTAACATCTAATGAAGCATACTACCAGACTTGCTTCGGATGCTGAATTTGATCTACATTTTCCGGTTGAGTATACAGGTCAAAGTATTTGGTGCAGTTTTCATTTCAATGATACTATGAGCCCAATAATGACCAACTTTGCATGGATGTTACATCTTAGGATGCTTACTACCATCCTTGCTTCGGATGCTGAATCTGACCTACATTTTCCGGTTGAGTGAACATGTTAAAGTTTTTGGTGAAGGTTTCATTTCCTAGTAACTATGAGCCCTATAATTACTAAACTTGCATGGATGTTACCTCTTAGGAATCATACTACTGACTTGCTTCGGATGCTGAATCTGAACTACATTTTCCGGCTGAGTGAACAGGTTATAGTTTATGTTGCAGGGTTCATTTCCAAGTAACTTCGATCTCTTTAATAACCAAACTTGCATGGATTATAAACTGTACATCTAAGGGGGGATTTTACCAGGCTGGCTTCAGATGCTGAATCTGACCTGCATTTTCTGAATTAGTGAAAAGGTTATTTTTTATGCAGGTTTCATTTCGAAATAACTTTGAGCTCTATGTTGAGCAAACTTGCATGGAAGATACATCTTAGGATGCACACTAATGTTCAGATGCTGAATTCGACATAGATTTTCCATGCATATAATGGACCTGTTAAAAGTTATTGGTGCAGGTTTATTACCAAGAAACTATAAGGCTTATATAAACCAAACCTTGCACAATAATGATGCATCAAGGGATGAAAACTCTCAAACTTGCTTCAGATGCAGGATTTTAACAACGTTTTCATGATGAAGTACTTGTTTGAAGTTTTTATATAGGCAAATTCAAAAGTATCAAATCAAAATTGCATACATCTTGCACTTTTTGTTGGTTAATTGTTTGTCTTTGCCTTACTTAAAGACTACATTCGTTGAGGTGAGCTCTGTAATCTTTGATTAACTATGTTTTAATTCTCTGAGTCATCCTTTTTAAACAATGGTTTCAACATTGAAAGACCAATATTAGTTCTTAATTATTTCATATAAATGTTTTTGTATTTTTTCAAAGAAAATGAAAAAAAAATTATATCCAGATGCTTTAAATTTAAAATTTTGCTGTAAATGAATGCATCATATGAATGTCTAATGTAATGTGTATAGAAAGCTATAATTAGACTTTTTAATTTCAAGTCTAAAACATCAAATTTAGATAATAATATTTTTGATTACATTTTCTCCGTCGTCCGTCCGTCTTACTTTTTGTCCATTTGTCTGCAAAAACATTAACCTTACCCATTACCTTTCTTATATTACATATGTTTTCCTTGTGACAAGACGTTTCTTTGGGTGCCACCAAATTTGACTTTTTTGACCTTGGAGTTTTATCCACTTTTACTAAAAAATTCTTAACTTTAACTTTGGTCATATCTTCTGAACGGTACATACCGGGACATTTATACTTCAAATAAGTTTTCTTTGTGGGAAGACTTTTTATTGGTTACCAACAACATTGACATGATGACCTTAACCTTGGAGTTTTCTGTACTTATGAAAAAACTTTAATCTTGACCATAACTTTTGAACGGTAAGGGCTAGTGCTTTCTTACTTTTCAAAATTAATCCTTGTGACAGGACTTTTTATTTGTGACTTACTTATTAAAATTTATAACCTTGGCCATATTTTTGGAGGGTTAGGGCTAGGGCTAACAAATTTCACATATATATTTTTTGGGAAAGACTTTTTTTTGGATTCTAACAACTTTGTCCTTGACCTTGACGATTTCTATACTTATGAAAAAACTTAAACCTTGGTCATAATTTTTTAACCCTTAGAGCTAGCGCTCTCATACTTCACAAATGTAGTCCATGTGAAAAGATCCTTCATAGGATACCAAGAACTTTGACCTCTTGACCTTGACCTTTTAGTTTGACTTACTTTGAAAAAAAAAAACAAATCTTATGTCAATGTTTCATAAACGCATCCTGTTTTCTTCTGAAAAATAAACACTGCCTTTGCTACATTGTTGTAATTTAAAATGTGTCAGATACTGGTATAAAATCAATTAAAAATACAAATCTTGACCATACTGATCGCGGTACATTCAGTGTATTATGTACTTTTCCTTTACTTTATTGTGTAAGCGAGGGATAAACCGACAAAGATAGCCTACTTTATCAATCTGAAAGGGCACAACAAAGACATCGTCTAAAGCCACGGTCCGGAATCCGCGATACAGCTCTCTCAGAATGAGAGAGGATCGTACATTTTTGCCGTGGTTTGCGACGATGCAACATAGATTGGTTGATTGACTATATTGTTAACGCCCCTCTCGAGAATTTTTTACTCATATGGAGACGCAATAATGAAACACAAGTAAACAAAAATTCAATTTCTCCCAAACATTTCATTAAAAAAAGTATGTGATCTGTCAGATGTATTTCTTTAATTTTGAACAACATAATGCAAAATGTTAAATATTTATACTTTTAAATTCTTAAATGAATATGAATATTTTTATTTGAAGTTATTGGAATTAAGAATTAAATTCCGCCATGCAAAGTGAAAATTCATTATTCTTATTGACAAGCAAGTTGGTAAAACAAAAATATCAATAGTCTCGTCATCAGTCATCATTTCGTTCTATGGTAGATACAATGACCTTGTCAGCAAATACAATTTATCATTGAGTCAAATGCTGACTGACATTTTTCATTCCAGTTATTAGCCCTTTACTTATACACTGAATTGAAGACGGATTTTTCTGTTATTTCCCGATGATGACAAGGAGCACACAGAGGCTAATAATAATCATTCTGTCTGCTCGATTGATTCGACAGAAAAAAATGCTTCTCAGCCTTCCGCATCAGAGATGGAAGAATAGCATTCTACTATGGCGTGAAGCGGTAGGAAAAAACTTTGGGGACTTTTATCATTGTAATTAAACCAAACTAAAAACAAATTACAGGGGGAATTTTTTTTTTTATATGTATGAAGAGTAATTCTGTTAAGAAGCATTTTTTCTGTTATTAAAGCAATTGCAGTAAAAATCAACCGTCGAACAAGGTTTTATTTTCACTG